TACCCTAAATATAATACCATCTGTAGAATAAATACGTATTACTCCAAATATAATACCCGGTTTCATATACAATACCCACGGGTACTATTCAATTTATAAACTACAGTTTGAATAAGACCCTGGATATTATATATAGTGCTAAATATTGAACGGTCAAAAAATTCAATTACATTAGAAAGAAATTGAAAATATTTTACAAATTAAAAAAAGCGATAAATTAATTTGTCGAAAATTAAGGAATCTAAACAACATCATGTGCTGAACTCAAATCCAAAAGTTGCACTGGCTCATGATTAGTATTAGTATCGTTATTATTATTGTCTATTTTCACTGGCTCATTATTTGTATCATTGTTATCCCGTCGCTTTTTCCATTTGAAAAAGAAGAATGACCCAACACCAAGCAGAATGACACCTAATATGCCAAACACGACACCTGAAATTAATGTACCACTTGCTGAATTTGAAGGGGTATTTGTAGAATTTGGACTGTATTTATGTTTCGAAGGTTCTAATTTGTTGGGTGTGTATGCTGTTTGCCATGTATATGTTGTGATATCGAGTACTAAAAGATTGTTTGGACCATTTTTCATTTCATCCACCTATACGTAGTAACAAAATTAAGATTAAAAAATAGTAAAATAATAGAACAACAGAAATGAGAGCTTACTTACATGCCTTCCTAAAGATCATAATCATAATAGAATTACAAATTAGAATCATTAAAGTATTTAATTGTGCATATTGCTTTCTCACCAAAAGTTATAATTAAATTTGTTCCAGCTATGACCATCGTATGTTCGGATCGAACACCGGGAATAATTCCTTTTGTTGTTATGTTTATCCAAGTGTATGGAGAAGTCATTGTATTCAACACGTAAAGATCGTTAAAATAACTAGTATAATTGTTGCGAGTATAATTATTTGATCCCCCGTAAATTATAATTTTATTCTCCCATGCTATGATGCGTAAATGAAATAACGTTATTTATATGAGCTAAAGGCAAGAATAAATAATTCAAGGTACAACTTACTGCCAACTGCACTATGATAAAAACGTCCCGGAGGAATGACAGAGCCAGTTGCTAGCTGAGAAACAATATTTTTTATAATTAAGATATATACTTCAGTATATACGTTTTTATATGTTAAATTAATTACCTCTAGAGTCCATTGACTTGTCTTTAAATTGAATACGGGGATTTGATCCATTTGTGCCAATTTTTCGTAATCCTTATCTAAAATGCCACCTATCACATACATTTTACCATCACTTAAAAGTGTCGAAGTATGAATCGCTCTAGAATCCGGTCCGGCCGGCAAATTATATACAGACCAAGTATCAGTACTCGTATTTACTAAAAACAAGTCACTGTTTGGTAGAGTTGAACTCATTTTATCGTTGTATCTATTTCCAGCATAAAATATTATCGTAGAGTCATTGGAGTTTGTGACACCTGTATGTTTTTGTCGTCGAGTTATCTCGCTTGTATTTGTGAAACGAGGAGTTGTCCACTTTTGCGATTTAGTATTGAATACGGCATATGGAATTGCATTTAAATTATCACCACCATAGATTATTAACAGCTCATTTTCTGCGCCGCCAACATTTGCTGTGTGTAATGCAACTTTTGGAGCATTTATCGAAGGGCCACGAGCCCATGGTGGTGATGATATGTCAAAAGATTTAGTTAAGTCTAGAATCCAAAGTTCATTCAAATCTGCTGTTGCATCTAAGACGATTGGGTTTGATGCTTGTCGCCCACCAAACACATATAATCTAAATTATAGCGATAGTTATAAGATTCAAGTTATTTATTTACTATTCACTATATACTTTTATTAAAAAAAAATGCTTACATATTATCGATTATTGCTCCAGCTTGGAAACTATGAAAGTTTTGGTTATTCTTTATGATGATTAAATAGCATTTATTCAACACATTACTCACCGTCTTGAAGTAAGGTCTCCTTTAACAAAGCAAGATACTAGTATTAAATAAATACATAACGTCATAAAAAATGCCATTTTAATATTTGTGAGTTTGAATCAAAATTCAGTGTATCAAGTATGTACGTATATGCTATTTTAACTGAAATAGTTTGGTTTTTATCAAAATTCAAAACACTTGGTGTCCATCTACACTTTAATAATCCATTAGAGGCTTGCAGGTTTTAATATATAGCTCACTAATACATGTAATATACATACCAATACTGATACCTTGTTAAACAAATTTGGTTCCAGGAATAGTTATTGTTATTTTGCAGATCAAATCAAAATTAGACTTCATCAATTTTCGTTTTAGCCTAATTTACCAAATTAAGGTATGAACGTTATCAAACCAATAAGGCTGCGCAAATTTTTGATCAGCCCGGCAAAACAAATCCGATAGGAAAAATGAAAATGTGATAAATACGGGAAACAGATGTCTAAATCCAACTTGGAACTCTAATAAAAAATGTCGGGGAAGCAATTTTACATATAATTTTGTCCTTCACTCTAACCTTACCCTAACCCAAACAATAAAATTGACTTTTAATAGTTGCCGGCACACATATTATTTGCGCATTCTTAATGTTTTTTTCTTGGTTATGCCAGCTCCGCTGAAAAAAGTGCAAAATGATTACCATCACCATTAATGATCCCAGCCTTATTTGCCTTATCTTTCATGTCCACGGTGATCCAAAGGGTGATTTTTTCACAATTGCGATTTCCGCAAACTCGGAAGTCAGTAGACTACAATCTACGATTAAACACCAGTTGTCGTATCGATTTAATAATGCCCCTAACCTCCGAATCGAACCCCGCTCGAATAATAATTCCGAAAACCACGAATGGAGATCATTTAACACAAGTTTCGAATATTTAGAAGAATTAAATTTATCTGAATATAATAACGCCCACATCATAGCGTACCCCTACACCGACTAATGAGCATAGCAATAAGTGCTTTGTTAAAAATTTATTATGTATCAGTTGTCGTCTCCGAAGCATTTTTTTCGTCAAATAAAGCGTAGTCTGTTCACGTGTATCACATGATCACACATATAAAGCCATCAATCCTCACCAAAAATGAGACAAGAAAAATTTCACTTTTCGCCCTTGCATTATCTAGCTTCTTACAGTACATAAACCCAGATTTTTAACTCCATATACCAATATAAAACGGTAACATGTCTTCATTCAGCGCTTTCTCACCTTCTTCACCAGTTTCTACTTCCTCCACTTTAACAGAAGAAAGATCCACTCGCACGATGGCCGACATAATTAAAAGTATAAAACGGAAGAACTTATCAATTATTTGCGGAGACAGGAAGATTTAGATCTTGTATCTCGATGTGTTTCGTAATGAGAGAATTTCCGGGTTTGCCTTTCTTGAGACAACCAAAGCAGAGTTTCGTAGTTAAAGGGTGGAATTGCGACAACACTTACAAAGTTCATTGAGAATCTTAAAGAGCAAAAAATACGAAATTTCTCGTCGTATAAATCCGTGGAAGAACTAAAAGAAAATACAGAGTAAATGGCAATTCAATCCAGGTGAGGGTAGTATTTTTTATACAACACAAATGTCACGATCGAATATAGGATATGTGTTAATGATTTTTTCTCTATAGTGTTCGAAGTAATAGATGATAACGATGAAGCATTCAACCATTGTATGGCGGATATTATTCTAATCCTTACAAATATTGAGACGATGACCGACGCCAACGAGGCTATCCGCTGTGAATTTATCTCGTCTATATTACATGCATCGATCGCCATAACTAGGATAACGAAGGAAATCAGTATATCATTGCAGAAGGATGTTTCCGGTGAAGAAGCATCTGGACGCGTTGACTACTCAATCAAGGGAAGGGAGGAATTAAACGTTGGAATATTTTTGCCGATCGTTACGCGGTTTTTGTGTCACACGTTTTTTCCATAGAATATCATGCAACTCGAAGGTGCGTATCATATGAACAAGAAAAAAGAACGGCCGAGCAGGCTTTGGAAATGATGACTATGACTATCTCTATGGAATAGTATCAACAGGTAAGTAATGATAGCACTTGAGATTAAATTTTTGGGACACTGGCCTACGAAGCATAATCAGAGCACAATACTAACCTTGCATTCTATACTAGCCACGGATTGGCATTTCTTGTCTTTACGATGAATGGACTTTATTGCACAAGTGGTAGTGCATACCAGATCAACCTCTCAAAGACCGCAATCAAAGAAAATCTCGACGTACTCCGAAGCAGTGTGAAAAAGGTGATAAGAATCATTGTTGGGTTATTATAAGCTCGGGTAACGTCCCAGCCAGTAAGAGGGTCAGGATGAAAAAATTTACCAAAAAGTAATGAGGCAAATAGTTTCGCCTCACATGTTCTTATGTAATTTATTTTTGTACCAATAAAACGATCAGACCAAAAAGGTTCCGATAATTAATTTTGACGCGTGATAATGGTTTTATTTCATTTGGGATCGTCACTCCGAGACGCGTGAGTTTGTGATTTACAATTCCGTTAATGAATTTCGGCTTGTATGCAAATTTTGGTTCATTTGATATAGACTAATGCGTATAAAAACAGGCAGGGATATGTGAGAAACTAGTTACCTGATTATATGAGTCAAAGATCTCTATGCTCCGCATATTCCGTCGTTATTATGGCTCTGTCTAGCCTCAAAGCTCTTGCATATAATATTCTAAAAGAAACTGGAGAAAATATTGTTAAGATATAGAAATTCCAGAGTTAGCTCAATGTCCGGAATGTACACATGATATTTTATCACTTCCTCTTAAGACATTTACTATAGCTTATACACCATTTATTAGAAGTTACTTGACTGCAATAATAAATTTTGTCCACGTCGGGCTTTGCAAAAATAAAGTTTTATCACACATACTAAAATTACTGATAAGAGAATTACATCAATCACGTGCGGAATATCATCTATAAAAATAGATTATCTGATCTCGTATCAAAATTTTTCGTTTCATGTTCATAAAAATGTCTTTGTTGCTCGGTCTCGTTGCAAGGTCTTCTCGTCCTACATCACGAACTCATCGAATAACAGTATTTTTCTTATCTACTACGACATCATTTGACAAAGACCTTTCGGAATCACGAGCAATAGTCAGGGACAAACTTAAAGAACAAGGGTTTTCCGGCCTCATCAGCACCATTTCATCTACTTTTACGAAAAATGATTTGCAGTCACTAAAAGTAGCTTCCAACCAGCTCTCGAGAACGACATCCTCCCTAATCGTGTAAGGGTCCGAATTACGCTGTGTCAGCAGTCCTCTTAACGAGCCTAAGACAGACAAACCTCCCTAAATGCACTCTCTAAATGCACAGCATGGCTGGGTTCCAGCTCATAAGAGCTCTATATATTTTGCCCTCTATAAATGCACACCCTCTCTAAATGCACGCTTTATTATGGTCCCAGGGGGATGCATTTAGGGAGGTTTGTCTGTACTTATATTTTATACTGGCTTTCTAGAGCAATATGCTCTTCCCGAAATCGATATTTAAACAATTACGAACAGAAAATTTGATGTTAAAAATCTTAACAAAATCACGTTAAATCATTCATAAAAGATCTGCATGCAGTTGCCAAGAACTTAGGTTCTGATGAAGGCATGGATGAAGCTATGATTGACACACTGTAACTAATTTACTGGTTAGGGGTATTGACCAGCATTGCTATCCCTTGAGAGTTAGGTGTGCAATTACGAGAAAGTCTTTATTTCAATGATTTCTTAAATTTACATTGTATCCAAAACTAGTGCTCCGGCCGGACGGGTTGGATCAGGTTTTTAGATATATATGAACTCGACCCGAGTTAAAAAATTTTTATATGAAAATACCCAAGTTAGCTTTTATATAACCCGAACTCGACTCGACCCGACTCGTATCGACCCGGGGATTTTATAATATTATTGATAGT